TTGCAGCCACAGCAGGAGAGGGTAGAGCAGGAGTCCCGGCCGCAGCAGCACGTGTTGTTGCAGCCACAGCAGGACAGAGTAGAGGAGGAGCCACGGGACCAGCAGGGGGGGCAGGTGCCGCAGCAGCATTCGCCAGAGGAGGCAGAGCAGCAGCGACTTAGAGACCTGCCCGACTCAGCACCTGCACGCTTTGTTCGTGGTCCCCTACCATCCCCTCCTGTTCCCCCTGTCAAGTCCCTTTCCTCGTCCCAGTGGACTCGTCGTTCTCCCCTCAGTCGTACTGTGTCTCCAGAGCCTCGCCGGTCCCGTTACCGTGCCGACGGCCCGTTTCACCTTGTGCTTCGCTCTCGTGTTCCACCTCCTCCTGTCCTTCCACAACCTCCTGAGTCGTCCCTCACTGTGTTTCACGACCCGTTGTCCGACTACCTCCGTGCCTCTCGTCCTGTCGTCTCTCGTGTTTTGTCTGCGTTGGTCACGCACCCGACTACACCTCTGTCGTCTATCTCGGCACTTGTTACCACTATCGCTGATATTGCCTCTTCCCACCGCCTTGACTACGCCGCTCACTTGGTGATTGGACTTGCTCGTTCTCCGGTCTCTTGGGGTGCTCCTGTTTTTCCCCTTGAGGTCCTCGAGGATAGGCAGTTCGAGCTTGGTTTCCTTGCGGCCACTGTTCCTCATCTCTGCACCATGTTGCTTGCCCCTGGGGGGGATCTAGACGCTCTTGACATCCCGATCCCTCGCAATCACGCTGGGGCGGTCTCGGGACCCTGGGCTTCGTACTGGATAGCAGCTGAGGAGGCAGAGATGGCATCTTATAGGTCCACAGGCACCTACGTCGACGCCGTCCCACCACATGGGGCGAACGTTGTCAGTGGCATGTGGCTCTACAAGGTGAAGCGGCTGCCTGGAGCACCACCCGTGTTCAAGGCGCGATACGTGGCGAGAGGCTTCAGTCAGCGAGAGGGGGTAGACTTCTTTCAGACCTTCGCTCCCACCCCAAAGATGAGTACTCTTTGGGTGTTGCTGCATATTGCAGCACAGCGCGACTACGAGTTGCACTCCTTAGACTTCTCCACTGCGTTCCGTCAGGGGAGCCTGCATGAGCAGATCTGGCTGCGTCGTCCGCCTGGCTTCACTGGCTCTTTCCCTCCTGGGACCCAGTGGCAGCTTCGTCGACCGGTCTACGTCTTGCGCCAGGCTCCCCACGAGTGGCACGACACGCTACGTACGACTCTTGCAGCGCTTGACTTCTTTCCGTCATCTGCCGACCCGTCGATGTTCGTCCACCGTGGCTCGACCCCGTTCTTTGTTTTGGTCTACGTTGACGACCTGGACATCGCCACTCCCGACCGACGTGCACTGGCCTCCGTGAAGGAGGAACTACAGAGGAGACACACTTGCACTGACCTTGGAGAGCTGCAGCGCTACCTTGGCCTGCAGATCACCAGGGACAGGGCAGCTCGCACCATTACGCTGACGCAGTCGCATATGGTCGAGCAAATCGTCACGCAGTTTCATTTCCCATTCTCCAAGGTACAGCCCACCCCTCTTGCTGTGGATCATGGGCTCACGGCTCCACCTTCGGACGAGCCATTTGAGTCCAGCAGTCCATATCCTGAGCTGGTGGGTTGTCTCATGTACCTGATGACCTGTACTCGCTCAGACCTAGCTTACCCTCTTAGCATCCTTGCGCGCTTTGTTGCGCCTAGGAGACACCGACCTTCCCACTGGTACGCTGCTAAGAGGGTGGCAAAGTATGTGGCAAGTACATCAGGCATGGGACTTGTCCTTGGAGGGAAGCAGCCAGTTACACTTACAGGTTACTCGGCCTCGTCGTGGGCCGACGACGCAGAGTCGCTACGGTCTACACAGGGTTACTGCTTCAGTCTTGGGACCGGAGCTGTTTCGTGGAGGTCGACTCGGGCGTCGTCCGTCTCTAGTTCCAGCTGTGAGACAGAGGTGTACGCTGTGGCCATGGCCGCCCAGGAGCTTCGCTGGCTGTCTTTCCTCCTCACCGACCTTGGTGAGTGGCCTCGCTCTCCCCCAGTCTTGTTCGCCGACAACAGGTCTTCTGTCCTGTTGTGCGAGGAGCCCCGACTGGTTGGGAAGGCGAAGCACATCTAGCTTCGTTACTTCCTTCTACGCGAGTTTCAGCAGCGTGGCCAGTCTCGTGTGGTACGTGTGATCTCTGAGGCCAACACTGCAGATATCTTCACCAAGGCGTTGCTGTCTTGTGCCCACCAGCGCTTCTGCACCCAGCTAGGTCTTGTGTCTACAGGCCCTCACTTGCTTGTGTAGAGCTCAATCGTCTTGTACTCTTGCATCTCACTATTTATCCTATATCTATGCTTGTTGACAGGCCTTGTGGCCCTTTCCTTCTGTAGCGATGCTTGTCATGCATGTTTGTACTCTTGCATCTCATTTATCTGCTATATACTTGCATGTGGACTGGCCTTGTGGCCTCCTGCTTATTCTCGGACTGTGTGGTGATCTTGAGATCCACCCCGAGAGTTGTTTTGTTCTTGTGAACTGGTCTTGTGACCGTTGCTTGTTCCTGCTGGCTGGTCCTATGACCCTTGCTCTTGGGTTGTGTGTCGCTCTCCACAGGACAACCGTCATCTAGACTATGGGGGTGTGTCAAACTATATTTTTATAGTTATGTTAGTTCTAGTCTAGGTGTATTCCGTTGTGCTAGGGTTAGGGTTAGCCTTGGATATATCTTTCCTATTTTGTTCATTGTTACTCTTTCTCATATTCAAACACCTTCAACCTCATCGGCTGCGTGGATGCAGATCATGCCGTTGACCCCGACAATCGACGGTCCAGGATAGGCTTTCTATTCCGCCTCAAGCCCAACGGCCCCATCTCCTGGAACTCACAGAAACAGGAGATGGTTGCCCTGTCATCGGCGGAAACCGAGTTCATTGCAACAACAGCAGCTGTTCGCGAAGGCCAGATCTTCAGGAGCTGTTGCAGGAGGCAAAAATTCCAGCTTCATCAAACTTTCGCCTGCACTGCGACAACCAGAGCGCGATCAGGATCGTGAACAAATCTGGATTTGTCAACCGCACGAAGCACATCGCATTATGGTACGGTACTTCTTTGTTAAAGAAGAAGTTGACAAGGGCAAGGTTGACTGAACCTACGGTAATGCCCGACGGGTGACATGGCGGCTGATTTTCTCAAGAAAAAAATGCAACGTCAGTAGTACCAGCACTGCTTCGAACTCAGCGGAGTAGTCAGACGGGTTAAGAACTGCTACGGCCATGAGTGAAGGGGGGTGTTACGAATAGTAAAAGATGAAGCATTACTGTGCACTCCTCACCGTAGCAATTGAAGCACGCACTTGTCAGCATAGTAGTTAGAGGCTAGGGTTTGTGAAGAGAGGGTTTGGCCAAAAGAGGGGGTTGAACTATAGAATGCAGTACCGTAGGTACAAGTTATACGAAAGGGGGGGAGGTGGTGGAGGGAGGTAGTCCACCTAAGACAAGATAGGTGATACTACACCAACTAACTAAACATGCAGTTATACAAGAATTACAAATTCTGACAGCACTACCGAGCCGAGGCTGAAGACAAAAAGGCGGAAGTGACGCGAAGGGTCGTATGGTTACCGTCATCGCCCGGATATAAGACAGTGTTGAATAGTAGACAGGGGTTGTCTACTATACGGGTGTCTCTTATAAACAAGCTAGCCTTTTTATACGACACCTATTTGTGTGTACGAGTTAAGACATATATGTCTTATAATCAGAACCAGGGTTTAGGGGTTTTCTTATAAACAGGGGGTGTCTTCTTAGCTAGCTTTCCTACTTTAGGGGGGTACATGCATACAGTCATGAATCTCTACTTCTACCTAGCCCCCCTCAGTCACCGCCTCCTCACCTGCACTAACATCAGGCTCTATACCCAGGTCTGGCACTCGCCAGGCATGCCTAGCCGTCTCCCTAGGCTCGATCATGCGGTCAGCCTCGGCCGCCGCTCCGCGGTAGTTGGGGATCTCCTGGTACAACACCTCCAGGCCGGTTGCCACGGCCACCTCCCGCACGCCCTCCGCCTGCATCGCCTCCTCCTCCTCCTCTGGAGCCCGACCGAGCAGGCGCGTGTTGTCGCCTGTGGTCCCCCCGAGAGACATGTCCGCGGAGACATCGGTGGTGCTCCTGGCGCGCAGGTGAGACATCACCAGGTGGTTCTCTGTTCCGTCCAGCTTGCTCGAGATCCCACAGTGGCGGAACGCGTCGATGATGATCTGCTTGGGGACTTGATCCCAAGCCTCCGCGATCCACTGCAGCACCACGGGGTGCGGAGGCCTCCGCAGGTTCCCTGCGGGTGGGACAGAGGACGGGGCAGCGAGATGTAAGAGACACGGATATGAAGGAGCATGTTTAAGACAAGGACACAAAACAGAACATGAATAAAACCGTAAATGAAGGACCAACTCACCCTTCTTCGTCTTCAGGTGAATCCCTTCACGCATGAACCACCTGGCGTAGCGCGCTCGCACAGCAGCCTTGAAGCACCGGTTGATGGAGACGTCCAGGGGTTGAATCTGGCTCGTACAACCCGCTGGGATGACTGCAGGGGTGATGCTGTGCGTGCGGTACGACTGAAGCATGGTCTGGGTGATGTGACCGCGGTAGGAGTCCAACACCAGCATCGCCCGCCTTGCGTTCTGGCCGCGCTGGGGGTTCAGATGGGGCAGCACCTCCTTGGACAGCCAGGTCTGCACAGCGGTCTCGTCCATCCACCCGTTGTCCTGTGCTTGAACCACGATTCCTGCCAGGCACACAAGGGACAGACGGGCATCAGCACAGTGGGGCACGCTCATCAGGCAGTCGCACGGTTGAATTCACGCTCGCTTACCTTCCGGAATCTCACAGTTGGGGACGTTCTTCATCTTGAACCACACCCACGGCCGCAGCTTCTCCCCGGATGCAGTGCACGCGAGCATCACCGTCAAGCGCGTCTTCTGGTAGCCTGCAGTGCGGATTGGGACCGAGCGCGCGCCACGGTGCTCGATCGTCCGTTCGGCTGGCATCTCCACGAATAGTGGAGTCTGGTCCGCGTTGATGATGCGGGCCAGGTCGATTTTGTGCCGCCATGGCTACACGGATGTCATCGCCGGGCGAGTTAATTCGCCCGTAGTTATTAACCTGCACGTGAGGACGAGGTGAGGACTTGCCTACTGGTACTTTGCTGCGCATGGTTAGAGAGCCTGCCGAGAGCAAGGCTGAGACGAGTATTCAACCTCCTTGAGCACGAAATGAAGTGAGAGCCCGACTACCCCCCCCAGCCAGAGTGCCCCATCCACAGGTGCCGAGCCACTCCTCTACGAGGCATCTCCTCGTAGAGGACAGCCCTCATGCTGCCAACGTGCTGCCAGCAGCGTTCTGGAAGCATCCATGCGCTCCTGGCAGCAAAACGACGCTGGCAGCATCATTAGATGCTGCCAGCACAGAGGAATGTTGCCAGCGGTGGCAGCTCCCTCACGTGGAAAGTGTGGGCGCTGCATGCATCACCACCGATGTCGGCCTGTTTAAATGAAATTGGTCTTTGGGTGGTTTCTACACACTTTGCAAGTGTTACAGTCAACTTAATTTTTTTTCCATTTATAAGACTTATAAGACATCCTAAACCATCCCGTTTACAAGACAACTCAAGCATTTTTGCCCGTGTACGAGATAAGACATATATGTCTTATATCCGGGCGATGACGGTACGAAAGGATCTGGACCGTCGGTTAGACAACATCAGGCAGCAGCAGTGGCGAGGATTGTCTGGAGCCGTACGATTGAGTTTCGCTGTAATAAGGGAATGTTCCCCTTAGAGTACATGGCTAGCTAGGTAGCTTCGTTTTCCTCCCTGTACTCTTATTTATACTTTTGTATTTGAATGTTTTAATCATCTCAAGCATTTTACATTCACTCTGCTTTTGAGATCAAGGGCCCACCACCACAGAACCAATTGTGTGAGAACCTTCCTGAGGCGATCCTAGGGAGGATCAATTTCTGATCGCAGGAAACGGCACTCTCAGATCCTTGTGTTGATTATTATAAGGCACAATACATCCACAATCTGTACAAAATGAATAGACTATCCTACACCCCGGATTAGCACGATCAGTAAGTCAGAAGTACACAGGCACATGGTCATATCGAACATCATGCGGCACATGGCTTGGGCTTGACGGCACAGAGCAGCAGATGCAATGCTCGCAGCGCGCCGAGCACCACACACCACGCCCTCAATCGCGAGAACCAGCAGCCCACACCAGAAGCCGCCTGCACCGCCGCTCCCACCCAACTCGCACACAAGCCAGGCCACCTATTGATGATCCCCTGCCACATGGCACGCAGCGACAGGTCGACGAGCGAGAGCGGCAGGAAGAGCTGCAGCGACACGACGGCGCGCTCCACCAGCACGCGCCTCTCCCGCCCCTCGTCCTCCCTCCACCGCTGCACGCTTCCCTCGATCTTAACCCCCTCTGGCCCCGCAATCCACGTCATGCCGGCCATTGCCACGTCAGCCAGCGAGGCATACGAGTTGCGAACGCGCCTAGCCTGTCGATTGGTTCGGGGAGATGGAGCCTCACCACCGGTAGACCGACCTTGCCTGGGCAGTTCTGGCCCGACCTTTGTACACCCAGTGCTGCCGCAGCTGCTGCTGCAGCTGCTGCTGGTGGCCCCATCGCTGCTGGGTCGGCAACCGTTGCTGCCACGGCAGCGCGAGGCTTCGCCAGCTTTGTTTTGCTGCGCGTTCGAGGCGGAGTGCGTCGCTCCGCCACTAGCCGCGCGCCCCTCCGCAGGCTTTTTGTTCTCAGCAGGGGCTGATTGCCCCGTCTTCTGGCTCGCGCGGTCGCCGCCGCTCACCTTCTGCTGGCGCGGTTGCGCCGCTCTCTGAGGGAATGGATAGGGATGTGGAGGGGAAGCGAAGGCGGAAGGGGGTGAGTGATGGCTCACGTTGACTCGGGAAGCACCGAATGTGCAGGTGTGGATGACGTGCGACGTGGACGGATTGTGAAGGACACCCGGCCTGCCTACCAGTGCTACGCCGTTCCGCGCACTCGCGCCTCACCTGCGGAGCCGTGGGCGTCGGAGCCGACGACGGTTGCGCTGGGCCGCCCCGCTGTCTGCCTGCGCCCCTTCCGCTGCCGTCCTTCTCCCCCTTGGCGCTCTCCCTGTGCGCCTCCCTGCCGCACAGCCACGTCTCGAATGCGTCAAGCTCGCCCCTCGCGCGACCAGCGCCCGGCGCGGGTACCTCCGCTTTCCTCGGCGCGCTGCCCTCCTTCCGCACCCGTAGCCGCTCGGCGGTCGCCGCCCCCGCAGGGCTTCTCGCCCCCTTGGCCCGCGCTGTCGCGCCCGCACTCACTGATTGCTGACTCTGGCGACGAGACGAACCCTGGCGAGCTGCATCGCATCGCACGAAAGTCCGTGCGACGATGTGCGACGGCTGTTGATGGGTCTGCGGCCGGAAAAAATCCAACCAAAGAATGTCATCGTTTCCTGAGGAATAACCTCACACGGATAGAGCACAGCAAACAAGGCAAAGGTAAGTCATGCAGGATAAAATACTAGTAACAGAACATACAGCAATCAGCTGAGCAAGAACGCAGCCGTGGAATGGGAAGTGCGGAATCGTGCTCACCCTTAGGAAGCCTCAAACATGCGCGTTTAAGAGGATCAGATAACACCCGTTGAGGTGGAGAGTAGACACTGATTGCGCCTTTGAGAAAGGCTGTGCTGCGCGGCGGGCTGCATGCCATGGCCTGGTCCAAGATCTTCGAGAAAGAATCAAACAGCTATTGCGACACCTAGTACCGTTGCGTCAACGAGAGCCTATGTTTTCCGCTAAAATATTAGTAGCCTAGGATACTGAATGTGTCTTGTTAGTAACCGCCACCCGTAGCAGCACTCTGGTGCGTCATGGCGGTGCCACACGAAACTAGCCCCTACCGCCGAGGGCTGGTACCCCGTGCGATTAAAGTCTAACTCGTTCAGCTAAATACTCGCGTGCTTCTACTTCCTGTCTGTCCGTCGTATCGGAATCACGGCTGACTTTGGGGACAAAAGCCGCCACAGCGCTTCAGGGTGCGAGCAAAGGTGTTTCGCTCGTGTTGGTGAGCGATCCTGTGTTGGGAAGTGGAGAACGTGAGGCGAATGGGGAGGCGGGGAGCACGACAGGCGCTTATGCTGGGTTGGTTGGGTTGACGGTGGTGTCGAGGCGCGAGAAATTTGAAGCTGCGCGCCTCGACAGAAGTACAGTGTATTTTCGAAGGAGCCGGGAAACTGGGCACTAGCAGGCATGCCGTTGCGAGCGCCGACGTGGAAAATGTTGGTGGTGGTTATGCGCACCCGTTATTGAGGGGTTCGCGATTGTTAATCATTTTTCCACATGCAGTTCCAAGACGGTGGGTACCACCAAATAGTGAACTTTCACCCCACATGAAGTGACATTTTTTCGTTGCTTTTAGGTTTTTGAAGCATCCTTGAAGAACACAAGCAACACGAGTCACTATATATAAGAGACCAGTTCCACGGTATATCGTTTACTCATAGGGTTACATCTCCTTCATTTACACAGCTTGAGCTTCCTCATGTGAGGTGTGACAACGCTCTTGGGGTGTGGAAGAGTGGCGATGCACGTGGGCATGTTCTCAGGCTGCTCCATCCACACACGGTGAGTGATGCCCGCCTCCTGCAGCTTCTTGGACAGATTCAACAGCTGCGTCTCCCCCTTCACCTCTAGTGTCACCTGAGGGGGGAGAGAGGGGAGGGCGGCAACGGGGAAGAAGAATTGTTTGAAGAATCAGTAACAGGACTACAACACTGGATGAGGTGCTGAATGGTTCATGGCCATATGAACGCTGTGCCATTAGAGCTATAAAACTGCCGTCTAAGTCGTAGACTGAAGTGACGTGAGATTGAAGTAGCAAATCTGCCCCGAAGTGCGTGGCGGAAAGAAAGGGAGAATAAAATGAATCAATTGAATGAGGAAAACGTCTGTGTTGTGCTCAAAGGGCGAACGAGAGATGGCTGGCAGTTTCGCGGGGTAGGTATGCGAATATGCAGCAACAGGAAGCATCAGAGAAGAGCGAAAAAACTCATAATTTCTATGAGGGTTTCGGAATAAATAATGTAGGTGAGACGTAGGGGGTGAGGGAGGATAAGGGGGGGGGGAAGGGGGGTTGGTGCGGGGGGGAAGAGATGTTGAACATCCACTGAGGGTTGTGAGGGATGATGATAGTGGCTGATACAGATGATGATAGTGGCTGATACCGATGATGATAGTGGCTGATACCGATGATGATAGTGGCTGATACCGATGATGATAGTGGCTGATACCGATGATGATAGTGGCTGATACCGATGATGATAGTGGCTGATACCGATGATGATAGTGGCTGATACCGATGATGATAGTGGCTGATACCAATGATGACTCTGGGGAACGCAGTTACTACCCAACTGAAAACTCAAGCACCCATGCTTCAAACAAGGTGACGAAAAACCCCAGCTTTCCAGAGTAAAGCCATCAAGTTACCCTCTTTTCGAGCTCAAAACGGCCAATAACATCCATGAGCTCTTTTCTAGCTCGAACCAGATGTTCCTGCGGCTTCACGGATTCAGAATGCTGCGTTGCCGGTAACAGAAGTGCTGCAAACCTCACCCTCCCCTCCCCCCTCTCCCCCTCCGCCCCCACAAGTCAATTCATGCACACCATATGAAGCAATATTGTGAAATCTGAAGCCGCAAGTTCAATCAAGGGTTCAAGGCTCCAAATCTCAAGTTGAGTCGACTCAAAAGTCAACTCGGGTTCAAGGCTCCAAATCTCAAGTTGAGTTGACTCAAAAGTCAACTCGGGTTCAAGGCTCCAAATCTCAAGTTGAGTTGACTCAAAAGTCAACTCGGGTTCAAGGCTCCAAATCTCAAGTTGAGTTGACTCAAAAGTCAACTCGGGTTCAAGGCTCCAAATCTCAAGTTGAGTTGACTCAAAAGTCAACTCGGGTTCAAGGCTCCAAATCTCAAGCCTGAAATCATAAGTTTGAAAAACTGGGTGCCTGGGATCCAGAGATGCGAGTTATTGAGCGCGCTTGTGAGCAGCAATGCCCACACGCAAGGCTAAAAAATACAGTTTTCGTAAAATACGGTCCGATTTTTACGGTGAAAAAAAGAAAGAAAGAAAGAAAAAAAACCAGATCAAATACATTCTTTATCATGCCAACAACCGGACACATGCAAGAAGGGGTTCGTCCCCTTCATCCTGCTGAATTTCTGGTTCAATTTGGTCTCATAAAGTGGCTGTTTTGTTAATAAAACAGAAAACACCTCCTGGAACCGTTTTGAACCGTTTTTTAAGATACCGTTTTTTACGGCCTTATTTTTAACCCTTCCCACACGGCATCACCGCACCCACCTTGCGCATGGAGTCAAGCTGCCCACAGTACTTGAGCACATTGGGGTGGTGGCGGTGCTGCCACAGCACGGCCACAGTGGCATGGCAGCCCTGTGTGATGACGGACCCCAGCGGCCACTGCAGCGCCTCCACCAGGTCGCGCCGGATCACCACGTGCTGCACCAACGCCTCCTCCTCTTCCCCCGCCACTCCCTCCCCCTCCCCCTCCCCCTCGCCCTGCGCCTGCCCCTGCCCCTCCCCGCTCCCCTGCAGTGCCCCATCCCCTGCCCCACTAAACTCCAGCCCGCCTGTGGCGCCTCCCTCTGCTACCCCCTGTGCTGCAGTCCTCTCTACACCCTCCGCACCGCTTGGCCCAGCTGGCTGCTCTGCTGCAGCCCCACCTGCTGCAGAGTCAGCAGCAGTCCCGGCCATACCCCCACCCTGTCGGCTCGTGGCGGCGCAGACGGTGTGCAGTGGAGAGCGGATGGCACTCACTCGCCCCTCGTGTGCTCGGTGGTTGGAAGGGGGCACGCCGGTACCTGATGGTGACGGCGGCACAAAGGCGTGGTTGCTGCTGCGGCACTGCTGTGTGTGCTGCGTGCGAGAGCTTTGCCTGCTGCCCGTGTGCTGGGTGTGCCGGGTGTGCTGATTGTGCCGGGTGTGTGTGCAGGGAAGGCTGGTTACTGAGTGGGCAGTGCGAAATGGCAGGAGGTGCAGAGTGGGAGAGGCACGGGGAGCGAGCGGGAGAGAGACGGCTGCTGTGCAGGTGGCGAGGGGGCGGGGCATGCGGGCTGTATGGCGTGACACAGGAGCGCTGTGTGACACAGGAGCGCTGTGTGACGCAGGAGCGCTGTGTGACACAATGAGTGTTCTTGCAACGAGGGCCTCTGCAGCACTGCGGATGGGAGGGATGAAGGAAAAAGTGGGTGGAGAACATGGGTAAGAGAGAAGAGGAGGCAAGGTCTATGGGGCTGATGCCATCAGGGCGTGCGCTGCTGGCACGATGCGCGGGTAATGCGCGAGAAGAGGCAAGGTTTATGGGGCTGGGGCATCGGGTAATGCGCGATGAGGGCAGCAGCGCCACCCATGCGTTGGGACGAAGGAGGGAACGAGGAGGCGAGGGAACGAGGAGGCGAGGGAACGAGGAGGCGAGGGAGAGCGGGAGAGAGGGCAGAGTGGTGGGCTCACATGGGGCGGCGCAGCATCGTACAGTGGGGCGCTCGGCGCTGCACGCGCGCGCTGCTGCTGCTCGAGGTCGAGGCGGCAGCCCCCTTCACGCCCCCGAATGTGCCGCCCGGTCCGCGCGACCTTCGCGACCCGCGCGATGCGTGGTGCAATCACGCAGGGGAAGCACCACGAAAGAGTGGGAGAGGGAGAGGGAAAGAGGGAGCACGCCCCGTCGCGACGCCTAATGTTCTCCGTTGAGTGCGAAGCAGCGCCCGAGCGAAACGAGGTGCGCAGGGAGGGCGACAAGAATCGCACGCGCGGAAGGAGCGGAAGGGCGAGGAGAAGGGGGGAAAGGGGTTGAAGGCATCCCGCTAAAATTGTTTTGACACTGGCGAGGGGAGGGGAACCAGAACAATCTCACCTTCACGGGGTCACCCAACACAGTTCCCCACAGAACCTCTCGGCACTGGCGACGTAATCGACACTCGCAGAGGTCTTCGCACACCTCGTGACTTGTGCGAATCTTCAATTGTAACTCAGCAGCATCGAAGATGCAGAGGGGACTGAACACACTAGATGAGTTTTCTCAATCACCCCCTCGACGCAAACCATCCACCCACTACACGAACATCACGCCTGAGGTAACTAACAGGAACAGTCCTTGCGCTATTCCAACAACGAAGGCTTGCTTCGGGCTGCAAATGGTAGGAGAATCCTCTTACGCGCTGCTAAGGGCCGTGCCGTCCTTCCTCCAACCCTACCTCTTCCCTCTCCCTAGGACAACCTTCTCTTCCCTCTCCCTAGGACAACCTTCTCTTCCCTCTCCCTAGGACAACCTTCTCTTCCCTCTCCCTAGGACAACCTTCTCTTCCCTCTCCCTAGGACAACCTTCTCTTCCCTCTCTTCCTTCTCTTCCCGCTCGGACAACAGTCGCGCTCACGTCGCTCCCCAGCTGACTATCCAGGTCGCGAGAATCGCGTGTGTTAACGACGAACGACCGTGGGGATTGTAACACGGTTCTCGCACGAAGACCGCGAGAAGCATTCTGCTGTGATGGGAACGGATGGGAGGGGCGGTTGGGCTAGCGCCGACAACCACGACCGGAGATTTGATAGCGCAGGGGGCGGGGAAATAGGTGGAGGCGGGGGGGAATTTGGCGGGGGATTCGACGACGCTGACGGGGCGGCGGAGGGCGACGAGAAGGCAGTGGCGCGCGGGGGAGAGGCGGGCGGAGGGGACGTGAAGGCGGAGGCGCGCGGAGAGGGCCAGGCGCAAGGAGGGGCAAGCGGTGGGGAGAAAGCGGAGGATGTGGGGAAGGAGCAGGCGGCGAGCGGCGCTTATTGCGCGCGGGAAGCGAGCCTGCACGCGGAGGTGGGCTGCAGAGGGAGGAGGGTGGGGGGTGAGGTGGAAGCATGATGGACGGGTGATTAAGGGGGTGAGGGGGGAGAGTAGTGAAAGGGGAGCAGTGGAGGGGAAGTGGTCGAATGGGATGGCTGGATGTAACTGCTGCATGGCTGATGGCGCTGCATGGCTGATGGCGCTGCATGGCTGATGGCGCTGCATGGCATGCCAGCCTTCCCGTTTCACACCACTGTATTCATTCCTCCGTCCCTCACCTCTCCTCCGCACTCCATGTCCTCTCTTCATGCCATCATTTGCAACACCTTTCACCCTCCCCCACACATACCTTGTCGCCTTCCCGTCTTCGCTTGTCCTCTCTGCTGCTTGCCGTTTTCCGTCTGCCCCGCGTGCCCCCACCCCACCCCAGCCACCCCACTCCTTCCCCTTGCACACCACCCCACCTCGTCCCACCCTACCCCACCCCACCCCACATCTCCCTGTGGTGGCAGGAGGCGGCTGGCACTCTGAAATTCATATGCTGCCGAAACGATGGGGTGGACGAACACATGATATGGTATGATGCACACACGTGGTCTTGTAAGGCATGGTGATAGGAGGATGCATGGTAACACGCCGAGGCATGGCATGGCATGGCATGGCATGGCATGGCAAGGCATGGCATCTGAGCAAGGTTGGGTAGATAAGGCTGGGTGTGTGTATGGCTGTGATCGCACCGATTGGCGCCTGGCTATGTTGCGAAAGACGCGTCCTGCGTCTAAAACGCTTGCGTCCAGGCGCAGCCTCTTAGACGCAGGACACTTCTTTGGGCCCTGTGAGGCGCTGGAAAAGGCGCATGCTCGGGCAGGGCAAAAAAACGTCCGGGCAGCCAAAAAAACATGCTATATGACATGGGAAGGAGGGGGGGGAGAACGACGTACCACACATTTGAGGCAAAATTTTCCCCATCCAACATATTTTCCCCCATAAACAGGTTTCACAAGAGTCACACATGGTCTAGGGTTTTTGAAGGAGAATTGAAGTGAGCTCGAGATTTGGGGGCGAATGAAGTGTTTGTGCTCCTACAAGTACTTGGTGGTGGACCACAATGGTTGGGGGGGTTTTCAAACTTGGTTGGGGGGCGGTTTTTCAAGGTCGACATGGGTGTTTGGGGGGACGAAATTTCGCGAACATGACATTCGCGACGAAAGCGCGAATGTCAGTTTCGCGCTGGGCAATTTTTTTTTTCGGTCAGCCCGAAAAAAACGGCGTGCGTCCTGCGTCCCTGCGTCTGGACGCAGCGTCCAGACGCAGGACGCACGATGCGCCCAGTGTCTTTTGCAACATAGGCGCCTGGGCGTGTTGACTCGTGCAATGCATGCGTCGGCAATCGATGCTCTGTCAAGGGCCGTGCCGTCCTACCTCCACACCTATCTCTTCCCTCTCCATCTTCGCTCCCACTGTCCTTGCTTTGAATCCATTCCATCCCCTCCTTTCCCTTGTCCTTCCTGGGCATGGGCATGGGCATGGCTTGCGTGTGTGTGAGTGTGTGAATGCAGGCTGGTGGGGTTGAAGAACATATTCTCACGGCAGCTGCCCAACATGCCTAAAGACTACATCGTGCGCCTGCTGCTCGACCGGTACGTGAGGGGATGCTGCTCGACCGGTACGTGAGGGGATGCTGCTCGACCGGTACGTGAGGGGATGCTGCTCGACCGGTACGTGAGGGGATGCTGCTCGACCGGTACGTGAGGGGATGCTGCTCGACCGGTACGTGAGGGGATGCTGCTCGACCGGTACGTGAGGGGATGCTGCTCGACCGGTACGTGAGGGGATGCTGCTCCACCTGCTAGGGTAAGAATGCTGGTAGCTGATTCGTGATGTTGCTGCTGAGCCTTCAGTTGTCACTTAAACAAGATTGGGTTGACAAGTGCTGGACGTTAGAGGGCCCCAATGTAAGCCGTGCGAGAGCCACTGGGTGGGTGTCAGCCCTGCCAGAGCCACTGGGTGGGTTCTTCTTGGGACTGGCCGGTGGGTGGACGGCTGGGTGGGAGGGCGTGGGTTCATTCCACTTCCCCTGGTGCTCTTTCCACGCTGTGATGTGCCGTGTGCATGCCTCATGCTCGTGTGTTTCTGGCTCATCCCTGCTCCCTCCATGCACGCACACACCCCCCATCAGAACGCACAAGTCAATGATGCTCATCAAGGCTGGCACGGTCGTTGGTGGCATCACATACCGCCCCTACCCCTCGTGAGTGCCCCTACCCCTCGTGAGTGTGTGTTCACTCTGTTGCAATGACATACCAGCATTTGGTGTCTGTATGCATTTTGAATATGTTCAGTATGACCTGCGGCAAGTTGTTGCCATTTGTCCTTGTGCCATGCAAGCTTACAGCCTTTTCATCATTCACGTGGCATCACATGGCATCACATGGCATCACATGGCATCACATGGCATCACATGGCATCACATGGCATCACATGGCATCACATGGCATCACATGGCATGACATGGCACCACTCTGTCGCTGTGCAGGCAGCGGTTTGGGGAGATAGCGTTCTGTGCCATTACTGCCACGGAACAGGTGAGCGGCATGGGGCATGTGAGAGGCATGGGGCATGTGAGAGGCATGGGGCATGTGAGAGGGATGGGGCATGTGAGAGGCATGGGGCATGTGAGAGGCATGGGGCATGTGAGAGGCATGGGGCATGTGAGAGGCATGGGGCATGTGAGAGGCATGGGGCATGTGAGAGGCATGGGGCATGTGAGAGGCATGGGGCATGTGAGAGGCATGGGGCATGTGAGAGGCATGGGGCATGTGAAAGGCATGGGGCATGTGAAAGGCATGGGGCATGTGAGAGGCATGGGGCATGTGAGAGGCATGGGGCATGTGAGAGGCATGGGGCATGTGAGAGGCATGGGGCATGTGAGAGGCATGGGGCATGTGAGAGGCATGGGCATGTGAGAGGCATGGGGCATGTGAGCGGCATGGGGCATGTGAGCGGCATGGGGCATGTGAGAGGCATGGGGCATGTGAGAGGCATGGGGCATGTGAGAGGCATGGGGCATGTGAGAGGCATGGGGCATGTGAGAGGCATGGGGCATGTGAGAGGCATGGGGCATGTGAGAGGCATGGGGCATGTGAGAGGCATGGGGCATGTGAGAGGCATGGGGCATGTGAGCGGCATGGGGCATGTGAGAGGCATGGGGCATGTGAGAGGCATGGGGCATGTGAGCGGCATGGGGCATGTGAGAGGCATGGGGCATGTGAGAGGCATGGGGCATGTGAGCGGCATGGGGCATGTGAGAGGCATGGGGCATGTGAGAGGCATGGGGCATGTGAGCGGCATGGGGCATGTGAGAGGCATGGGGCATGTGAGCGGCATGGGGCATGTGAGCGGCATGGGGCATGTGAGCGGCATGGGGCATGTGAGAGGCATGGGGCATGTGAGAGGCATGGGGCATGTGAGAGGCATGGGGCATGTGAGAGGCATGGGGCATGTGAGAGGCATGGGGCATGTGAGAGGCATGGGCCATGTGAGAGGCATGGGGCATGTGAGAGGCATGGGGCATGTGAGAGGCATGGGGCATGTGAGAGGCATGGGGCATGTGAGAGGCATGGGGCATGTGAGCGGCATGGGGCATGTGAGAGGCATGGGGCATGTGAGAGGCATAGGGCATGTGAGAGGCATGGGCATGTGAGCGGCATGGGGCATGTGAGCGGCATGGGGCATGTGAGCGGCATGGGGCATGTGAGTGGCATGGGGCATGTGAGCGGCATGGGGCATGTGAGAGGCATGGGGCATGTGAGAGGCATGGGGCATGTGAGAGGCATGGGGCATGTGAGAGGCATGGGGCATGTGAGCAGCATGGGGCATGTGAGAGGCATGGGGCATGTGAGCGGCATGGGGCATGTGAGCGGCATGGGGCATGTGAGAGGCATGGGGCATGTGAGAGGCATGGGGCATGTGAGAGGCATGGGGCATGTGAGAGGCATGGGGCATGTGAGCGGCATGGGGCATGTGAGCGGCATGGGGCATGTGAGCGGCATGGGGCTTGTGAGAGGCATGGGGCATGTGAGCGGCATGGGGCATGTGAGCGGCATGGGGCATGTGAGCGGCATGGGGCATGTGAGCGGCATGGGGCATGTGAGCGGCATGGGGCATGTGAGCGGCATGGGGCATGTGAGAGGCATGGGGCATGTGAGCGGCATGGGGCATGTGAAAGGCATGGGGCATGTGAGAGGCATGGGGCATGTGAGAGGCATGGGGCATGTGAGAGGCATGGGGCATGTGAGAGGCATGGGGCATGTGAGAGGCATGGGGCATGTGAGAGGCATGGGCCATGTGAGAGGCATGGGGCATGTGAGAGGCATGGGGCATGTGAGCGGCATGGGGCATGTGAGCGGCATGGGGCATGTGAGCGGCATGGGGCATGTGAGCGGCATGGGGCATGTGAGCGGCATGGGGCATGTGAGAGGCATGGGGCATGTGAGAGGCATGGGGCATGTGAGAGGCATGGGGCATGTGAGCGGCATGGGGCATGTGAGCGGCATGGGGCATGTGAGAGGCATGGGGCATGTGAGCGGCATGGGGCATGTGAGCGGCATGGGGCATGTGAGAGGCATGGGGCATGTGAGAGGCATGGGGCATGTGAGCGGCATGGGGCATGTGAGCGGCATGGGGCATGTGAGCGGCATGGGGCATGTGAGCGGCATGGGGCATGTGAGCGGCATGGGGCATGTGAGCGGCATGGGGCATGTGAGCGGCATGGGGCATGTGAGCGGCATGGGGCATGTGAGAGGCATGGGGCATGTGAGCGGCATGGGGCATGTGAGCGGCATGGGGCATGTGAGCGGCATGGGGCATGTGAGAGGCATGGGGCATGTGAGAGGCATGGGGCATGTGAGAGGCATGGGGCATGTGAGCGGCATGGGGCATGTGAGCAGCATGGGGCATGTGAGAGGCATGGGGCATGTGAGCGGCATGGGGCATGTGAGCGGCATGGGGCATGTGAGAGGCATGGGGCATGTGAGAGGCATGGGGCATGTGAGCGGCATGGGGCATGTGAGCGGCATGGGGCATGTGAGCGGCATGGGGCATGTGAGCGGCATGGGGCATGTGAGCGGCATGGGGCTTGTGAGAGGCATGGGGCATGTGAGCGGCATGGGGCATGTGAGCGGCATGGGGCATGTGAGCGGCATGGGGCATGTGAGCGGCATGGGGCATGTGAGCGGCATGGGGCATGTGAGCGGCATGGGGCATGTGAGAGGCATGGGGCATGTGAGCGGCATGGGGCATGTGAGCGGCATGGGGCATGTGAGCGGCATGGGGCATGTGAGAGGCATGGGGCATGTGAGAGGCATGGGGCATGTGAGAGGCATGGGGCATGTGAGAGGCATGGGGCATGTGAGAGGCATGGGGCATGTGAGAGGCATGGGGCATGTGAGAGGCATGGGGCATGTGAGCGGCATGGGGCATGTTAGAGGCATGGGGCATGTGAGAGACATGGGGCATATGAGCGGCATGGGGCATGTGAGCGGCATGGGGCATGTGAGAGGCATGGGGCATGTGAGAGGCATGGGGCATGTGAGCGGCATGGGGCATGTGAGAGGCATGGGGCATGTGAGAGGCATGGGGCATGTGAGAGGCATGGGGCATGTGAGCGGCATGGGGCATGTGAGCGGCATGGGGCATGTGAGCGGCATGGGGCATGTGAGCGGCATGGGGCATGTGAGCGGCATGGGGCATGTGAGAGGCATGGGGCATGTGAGCGGCATGGGGCATGTGAGCGGCATGGGGCATGTGAGCGGCATGGGGCATGTGAGCGGCATGGGGCATGTGAGCGGCATGGGGCATGTGAGAGGCATGGGGCATGTGAGCGGCATGGGGCATGTGAGAGGCATGGGGCATGTGAGAGGCATGGGGCATGTGAGAGGCATGGGGCATGTGAGAGGCATGGGGCATGTGAGAGGCATGGGGCATGTGAGAGGCATGGGGCATGTGAGAGGCATGGGGCATGTGAGAGGCATGGGGCATGTGAGAGGCATGGGGCATGTGAGAGGCATGGGGCATGTGAGAGGCATGGGGCATGTGAGAGGCATGGGGCATGTGAGAGGCATGGGGCATGTGAGAGGCATGGGGCATGTGAGCGGCATGGGGCATGTGAGAGGCATGGGGCATGTGAGAGGCATGGGGCATGTGAGAGGCATGGGGCATGTGAGCGGCATGGGGCATGTGAGAGGCATGGGGCATGTGAGCGGCATGGGGCATGTGAGCGGCATGGGGCATGTGAGAGGCATGGGGCATGTGAGAGGCATGGGGCATGTGAGCGGCATGGGGCATGTGAGCGGCATGGGGCATGTGAGCGGCATGGGGCATGTGAGAGGCATGGGGCATGTGAGAGGCATGGGGCATGTGAGAGGCATGGGGCATGTGAGAGGCATGGGGCATGTGAGAGGCATGGGGCATGTGAGAGGCATGGGGCATGTGAGAGGCATGGGGCATGTGAGCGGCATGGGGCATGTGAGAGGCATGGGGCATGTGAGAGGCATGGGGCATGTGAGAGGCATGGGGCATGTGAGCGGCATGGGGCATGTGAGAGGCATGGGGCATGTGAGCGGCATGGGGCATGTGAGCGGCATGGGGCATGTGAGCGGCATGGGGCATGTGAGCGGCATGGGGCATGTGAGAGGCATGGGGCATGTGAGAGGCATGGGGCATGTGAGCGGCATGGGGCATGTGAGAGGCATGGGGCATGTGAGCGGCATGGGGCATGTGAGCGGCATGGGGCATGTGAGAGGCATGGGGCATGTGAGAGGCATGGGGCATGTGAGAGGCATGGGGCATGTGAGCGGCATGGGGCATGTGAGCGGCATGGGGCATGTGAGCGGCATGGGGCATGTGAGAGGCATGGGGCATGTGAGCGGCATGGGGCATGTGAGCGGCATGGGGCATGTGAGCGGCATGGGGCATGTGAGAGGCATGGGGCATGTGAGAGGCATGGGGCATGTGAGCGGCATGGGGCATGTGAGCGGCATGGGGCATGTGAGAGGCATGGGGCATGTGAGCGGCATGGGGCATGTGAGCGGCATGGGGCA